CAGTGCGACGTGATGATCCAGGAGAATTCAGAGTTGGGCGTCTCAAACATGAAAGAGTAAAAGTTCCGCGAGGTGAATCCTTGATGGAATGGGCAGAAAATGTCATGCAGATTCATGCAGACAGAAAATCTGTTCTAGAGGTAAAGCATATCTGCCTAGCAGAGCGAGGTTAGGTAGCTATTTCTAATGTACTGGCCGGGATATTGAATATCCTGTTCCATAACCAACACTAAACATTTCACTAGGATTTTCTTTTATTATTAACATTCCTTATGTTTTTCTAGGTTGAGTTTTTAGGGGAGGAAGGAACAGGCCTGGGTCCTACCTTGGAATTTTATGCATTGGTGGCAGCAGAATTTCAGAGGACAGATTTGGGAGCTTGGCTTTGTGATGACGACTTTCCAGATGACGAGTCTCGTCAGGTATATTTCAATTTGCATTTTAAACTGAGTACTTGTATAAAAGAAAAGTGAGCTAGCTATCCAGAAGGGAAGAACACACGATCGGTGAGCAGCCACTCATCATGGTCAAGAATGACCACTCTGCTCCACAGCTTGCTTTCTAACCTGTTCTCTCTGTTTAACAGGGAAGTAAAGTATAAGTTAAACAGCACAGATATATAATTAAATTCACCTTTAACAACGTCAGCTTTTTTGTGTGTGTGTCTCTTAAATCAGGTTGATATTGGTGGTGGATTGAAACCCCCTGGCTACTATGTACAGAGGTCATGTGGACTCTTCACAGCACCATTCCCACAAGATAGCGATGAACTTGAAAGAATAACCAAACTCTTTCATTTCCTTGGAATTTTCTTGGCTAAATGCATTCAGGACAATAGACTTGTGGATTTACCCATTTCTAAGCCTTTTTTTAAACTCATGTGTATGGGGGACATTAAAAGTAACATGAGTAAGTTGATATATGAATCACGGGGTGACAGAGACTTGCACTGTACTGAAAGTCAGTCGGAGGCTTCTACAGAAGAAGGGCATGATTCCTTGTCAGTGGGAAGTCTGGAAGAAGACTCCAAATCAGAATTTATTCTTGATCCACCAAAACCTAAACCTCCCGCCTGGTTTAATGGAATTTTAACATGGGAAGACTTTGAATTAGTAAATCCACATAGAGCTAGGTTTCTAAAAGAAATTAAGGACCTTGCAATTAAAAGGCGCCAAATTTTAAGCAACAAAAGTCTGTCAGAAGACGAAAAGAACACAAAACTACAGGAACTGATGCTGAAGAATCCATCAGGTTCGGGGCCTCCACTTAGCATAGAGGATTTGGGGTAAGAGTTTTCATATTTATTTATAAATATGCAAACAGTGTTGTGTTAGAGACAAACATCAATACGTGTAATTAAAACTGAAGATTTCTTCATTTTAAATAGTATTGTTGCAAGGAGGAGTCATCAGAGATGCCGCAAGATCCAGTTTGCCATCTGTAGCTATGTTCTTTCTTGTTCCTTAGTTTGAGGATTTTCTCTTCTCACTTGCTCAGTTTCCTAATGTTTGAACTTAAATGTGGCTGCGCTGCAATGCCGTATGACTCTCTAGAAACACCCAAATACTTGTAAAGACCTTTAGTATAGTGTGAATCGGTGATTTCTTTGCTATGACAACTATTGAAATTTATCAAGTTTTTCTGAGAGCTTTTAAAGAGGACAGATTGAAATTTCACACAGTGTAGTGTTTGAATCCATGTTAAACAGAACTGTTGCTAACTTTTAGCAAATGTTAAAGACATAAAAGTGCTCATACCTGTGTAAACTTGTGTCAGGATGTCACCTTTTGTAGTTTTAAATTATTTCTTTTGAAACAACGTAGTTTTTCTACCGTTAATACTATGGGTTGTTTGTTACAGTCATGCGCCGCAAGGAGTTCAGTAATTGCTTATGGCCTTGCGGACTGTAGTATGGCTTGTTACAGAGAGAAAGCAGGTAGCACCATCGAAGGGCCTACATGTCTAATATGTTAACTGGCTCTGTATCTGTTAGTGCTGGAAATGAAGGTAAAGGATTTTTTGAGTTTCTGAACTGAATTAAACAGTTTGAGTAGTTTTGAAGCTGATAACTTAAAGATATCAAACTGCGAAATTTTCAAGGGTTATCAAATCCAAATAAATAGTGGGTGAGTACACGCATGTGCATACCATAGATTTGAAACACGTATTATCTGTGTAGTCCATTACTAATTGTAGTTCTGTACTGTGGTGACATTGTTTATGTATATACAACATGATCCGCAAACAATGGTTTGAAATGTAGCGAGGTGCTTTTGGGTGTGTGGGGTGCAGTTTCTAGGTCTGGTGTATTTGCAAAGGCAGTAGCAGACTTGTTCACAATTAGTAACTATCTTTGTATTTTGAAGTCTAAATTTTCAGTTTTGCCCTTCGTCCAAAGTATATGGGTTTACAGCTGTGGATCTCAAGCCAGGTGGTGAAGATGAGGTAAGGAAACAACCTACCTTTACAATTTAAACAGCAGTTAAATTTTTACTGTCTCAGCAGTAACTCTAATGCAAAGTGAATTCTTACAGTATTTATCTATTGTCTTTGCAGACTGTGACAATGGATAATGCAGAGGAATACGTAGACCTCATGTTTGACTTCTGTATGCATACTGGTATACAGAAACAGATGGAGGCATTCAGAGGTAATTTTAAATATGGCAAAATATATATGCAGTTAGGTGGACTGGTGTTCAGGGGGTGCTGGTTTAAAGTGGTGGCGTGGAAGGGCTTTCAAAAACAAACTTCTACATTAAGAATGCAATAGATAAGATATTAATTTCATAACACCTTTGCATTTGTTATGCCATTTTTAATCTTGAAGAGGTTCTGTTTACCTTAATTAAGAAACTGCTGATTGATTCTGGTTTGACTAAAATACAGCTGAAATGCTGACGTTATTTTATAAACATTCATTTGACTTACATTTATAACTATATCTTGTGTAAATTAAAGATGGCTTCAATAGAGTCTTCCCAATGGAGAAGCTGAGTTCCTTCAGCCATGAAGAAGTTCAGATGATTCTTTGTGGAAATCAGTCACCTTCTTGGGCAGCTGAGGATATCATCAATTATACTGAACCTAAACTGGGATATACACGAGATAGGTACTTATATTCTGAGTGATTTTAAAATAGTAGCTAAAAGATACGTTAAGTGACAAAATGTCCAGAATGTTCATTAGATGAAGACGCCAAATTGGATGGGATTGGTGGTCACTGAAGAGCAAGTGATTGTCTAAAACTACATGAGATAACCGTGTACGTTACAACAGATAGGTTAGAAGGTTTTTGTGATGAGAGAGGATAAAAAAATTTAAAATACTAAAATGTGAACAACTAGTGGAAATGTAATGGCAGCTAACTAATACAGGCTATTAAAAATAGCATTTGAGAGTCTTTACTTTCATTTTTGGTGGTGGTTATAATTTCTGTTCAGTTGGGTATAGCTGTTACTTGTCCCTTCTTTCTTATTTCTTTCTCTTCAAGCATAGTTAGAAAAGAAAATGTACTATGCAGGGAACAAACATACTGGTGATTGGCTATCAGGAGGTGGTCTCAACGTTTTGGGGTCTGTTGGGTTTGGGTTGTTTTTTTTTTTGCTGCTTGTCATTTTTGGTAGCAATAACATACAAATTACTTCTGGAACTGTGTTAGTATAAGCAGCTGAAGGATCCTGATCAGTCTGAGATGCTGTGTGGAGCGATCCTTCTATTGACGCTGCCCCGCATGCAAAGATGCAGCTGAGATTACAGTGCCCGATACCCGAGGGTGTGTTTCAGCAGGCTGTGCTTTCTTCATGCCCCCTGGGCTGCTATGGATGAAAGCGCTGGTATCTGGAGGATTCCTCGAAAATCTGTTCTAGTCTGTTACGTTTTTCCTATTTTTGTCGCATGAGGGTCTTTAACAGGATAGAAATGAAATCATACATAAATTGAAGTGGCTTTATACTGCAGAAGTGGTACAGAAAAAGTCTTAAGATTGTAGTCAGTTGGATTCTTCTCATAGAATAGGTTTGAGCTCTGTCTACTTCTCTACCCATTTGTACGCAAGATACCTGAATAACACTCCAAGAGAAGTATGGAGAAAAGTTCTTCTTTACCTACATTTTTCTGTGTAACACTCAGCGAGGAGGTTAAGGAAGTATTTTTATGGGTTTTATGGTGTCTTATTCTTAACTCAATACTGAACAGGCACTAGAATCTTACAATGACTGCTTAGACGTGACTGAAGATCGTAATTGTACTGTCTCAAGAAACACTCTCTTTGCAATGCTGTCATAACTAATTATTTTAATTTATTTTAAGCCCCGGATTCCTTCGATTTGTGAGAGTCTTGTGTGGTATGTCTTCGGATGAAAGGAAGGCTTTTCTCCAGTTCACCACTGGTTGTTCAACACTCCCACCAGGAGGACTGGCAAACCTACATCCCCGGCTCACTGTTGTACGCAAGGTGCGGTGGCTTCTTCAGGGTGCCCTTCAAACCGACTATTTTGGCTTTTGAATGCGATCGTTGCTACGTTAAGAAATAACGCTTCCCCCCGCCCCTGATTTTTAATTTATGACACTATGCAAAGCTGTCAGTACTAACCTCTGTTTCAGGTCTGTTCTCTGACTTCATATTTGAATATAAAAGAATTAACGTACATATAAAGTAAACTTATTCGTAAGTTGGTCTCTAGCTTTCCTGATGCTACCGTTCCTTGACGATGGGTGTTACGTATGCAGTAAACGCCACGAATTAGAGGATCTTACAACTTCTAACTTCCGTATCGAGTGCTGTGAACAACTGCAGTAAAACATGGTCTTTCTTTTCCTCAGGTTGATGCTACAGACGCAAGTTATCCATCTGTGAACACGTGTGTGCATTATCTAAAGCTGCCCGAGTATTCTTCCGAGGAGATTATGAGAGAGCGTCTGCTAGCTGCCACAATGGAGAAAGGCTTCCATCTCAACTGAGCCGCTGACTGCAATATGGGACATGAGGAAGTGTTTTTTGATACTAGCGAAGCCTCTTGTGTTTGTGTGCAAAAAATATGATCTCCACGCTGTGCTCTGATGAGACTTGCCTTTTTTTTCACCTGTGAGGCTTTAGGAACGTGTGGAATAAGTTTGTTAGCTGCTAATGACAAAATAAATCCTTGTAACTACACAGCCAGCAAGAAATTGGCACAGAACACTGTGTGATGCTTCAAGGGCTTGCACAACTGGAAATTAAGGTGGTTCTGTTTGTCTGTTCCAAAGAACAGATCATCAGATTTTCAGTGTTCACCGATACAAATTTCTAACAGTGTATTTGTGTAAAGTTTGTCATTTAATACCTTGTACACTACAGTTGCCATCACTGATCCCTGTTTTGCTGGCTTTAAGCTAACTGGTCAGAAACTTTTGCTTCCTTAAAACTTAGAGTTAATGGGCATCTCCAGCTTTTTCTTTTTTAATGGTGCCTGCACTATTGGAGTATTTTAGTGGGTTTTTGCATATAATCATGCACAACCTTTTTTTTCTTTCTTTTTTCTTTCAAGTGGGAATATATTTTGATTTCTCAAATGCCCTGCTATAAAGATCAAATCCTTAAGTGTGTTTGTGCAGCTCAACAATAAAGCTATTAAAAAACACTGGTTCCTAGTGCAAGGCACACTTAAAGCAAGTTTTACTTTTGGTTGTATTTTCTTTGTATATTATAAACATTTATTTAACTTGTTGCAGTTTGAAGTTTAAAAAAAAAACACCCAATGTGTAAGCTCAAGAGTAATCATTAAAATGTTTGCAACATATCAAACTGTCTCCTCTGAATACTTCATTAATCTTCTTACGTTATTAAATCTCCATACATGTTCTGAACAATCTGCCATACTTTTTTCAAGGTTTAAAAGAACTACGTGGCAATAATTGATCTCACGAACTCACCTCTCTGCTCAAATCTTTTCATAAGTACACAGTAAGGCTTTTCAAGAACTGGTCTGGCAGTGCTAACACTGCATGTGGCAGGTTTTGGTGCTCTTCAGTGGGCCCGCGTGACCTGAGGTTATAGTTCTTCATTACATTGGGATAAAAACCGGGTCAGATAAAGCTGAATCAGCTGCATCACTTGAGATGGAGGGCCTGTCTTGGTTTCAGCATGTGGTGAGGTATTTATTGGCAAAAAGTGGCTTACAGTAAGATAAAGCAAGATGCTAATACGTCTTTAAAGATATTTAAGTACTTGGTACCAGAAAAGGAAAATTACTATTTTAGTTGAATCTGCGTGGTAAGTTTTGTTCTGTGCCAGTTCTCTTTGGTAACAACCTCTGCTTGGACCGCTGCTGAGGGAGGGCTTGCCAAAAGATTCTGCCTCATACAGACACATCAGGTTGATGCCAGGTTTCATAGCATTATTCACAGGACTTTACAGGCATCTTCTTTGAAATTTTCCCCAACGCAAAATTGAAGGGGAACCTCCACCACCCCCAGCTCCTGTGACTATTGTGCTTCAGCAAAACGGTTGCATAAACCTTGTGTACAAGCTCCAGATGCAATGTCGACTTGTTTTGCTGAACGTGTTGTCACGTTAAAGCTATGTGGACAATTCTCCCCCACACCACTTCACTCTCTGCTCCTTAGACCCTGGCTTCCAAGCGCAATTTAGATGCGACTGTTAGCGTGCGTTCACACATAAAGCTCACACAGTATATGCTCTTTCAGTACCAAGTTATGCCTAGTGTTGGTGTGGAGGTTATGAAGAAGGAGCCGGGCACCTCAGTTCTAGAAAGGTAAGTGAACGTAAGCTCAGGTTGCTGACTCTTCAGTGACTTACAGCGTAGTACGGAGGTCTGAATCGGCATGTTGTACGCCTGTGAACACAAGTTAGCGTAGGTAGCTACATCCTCCTACTCCAGAGGGAAGATTTGATTTGGTACCTAGCTGGTACTGAGAAACCTGCGTATCTCTTGTTACTCATCTTCCGTGAATGTTTTAATCACGATGTGTGGATAGAACATACAAGAGGAAAAAAAAAATACACGGGTGTGCCAAAATAGAGAAGATTTTGTGTAATTCATGAAGCCAACATGATAAAAGATGATCAAACTTTTAATTATCTTTTATTAATGTTGTAATATTTAAGTGCTAAATACTTCTAGTTACAACTTACAGAGTATGCAGGAATACTAAGTAAATCTATACTTCTGTTATTTACATTGCTTTTGTAACCATGACTTACATGGAAAAGGGAGTGAAACCAGCTTTTTGGTGAAAGCCGAATCTAGTTTAAAAGCGGTCATAAAAGTTAGAGCTTTAATTTACAGTACATTGTGTGAAAAGAAAAAAGTTGGTGCTTAAAGGAAGCATTGGAACTCAGTTTGCATTTGTATTTCCATATTTTCTGTCTTCTCTTGGGTCTGGCAAAATGCTACGTAATTCAAAGTGATACCTAGATGGTCACGTGTAAGTTTCCATTACTTTATCCCCATCAGTTTTAAAAAATGTTGACTGTTCTAGAAAGATTTCTGCTGTGTCAATAAAGCTGCATCTGAAATTGAAGGTTCATGTGTACCCACTTCACGTGTAGCTGTATCTTTCCATTAGGTACGGAGGGTAGAGGAGAAACGGGAAGTATTTTCCAACCAATTTGAATATTGCGTGAGTCAGTCTTACGACATCAGAAGGGTGCTGTCGGTACGCCCTTGATGGTTTCACCATCTTCTGTAAAACGCTGCAGTCAGTCTTGCGTCTTCCTAGCTTTCTGCCACTTTGTCGAGCACAAACAGAGGGGCAAGAATTCTGTTCCTGTTTGTTTCCACGATGCAGCCGTTTAGCACCATTTCATCCAAAATGATGTGCACCCTGTCCAAATTGAACATGATCTAGAAACATTTCAAGTTAAGTACGCTTTGAACAGCAGAGAGGGAATTCAGAGAAAATCTGAGGCACCTTAGTCTTTGATCAAAGTTTACAAAAATAGGTATTTCTTAATTCTAGTGTATTTGGCTGTTTATTTTAATAGAGCTAGGGAAACGGTTCAACTGACGCTTTTCTGACCGCAGAGATGTCAAAAGTTTGTAGTAGAGAAATTGAAGCCCCAGCAGTAATCCCATCCTAGAAGATTACCACATAGTAGTAAAAGCAAGGCAAACTTGAGCTTAGGTGCAGGTGGTTAATTTTACTGTCTGCCTGAGCACCACGTATTGCTTGAATATAAAATGTTGTCAGAGGATAACAACCTTGAATGTGAAGATGCAAATATTCTGCGTTTCTTCTTAGAAAAGTAATTGTCAGTCAAATTCTTAAAAAATCTGATTCTCAAATCTTCCTTGCCCTAAGTTACTAACACTATTTGATCTGCTTGAAAATAGCTTAAGAGGAATATGCCGATATGTAAAGTTGAGTCATTGATCTAGTAATAAATCTCATAAAGACGACCAGCAAAAGTAAGTAAATGGTTCATATTTTAAATGCTTTCTAAAAGATATTTATAATCTCTTAATGTTCACCTAGAGGAAAATAATCTGAAACAACATGAATTTGTACTGTTGTGATACATGGAATTTGTCCATAACCATGTCTGTCTTTCCTTAACATTATCTAACAGCATCCGTCTCAAAAAAAATGACGACAGGCCTTAGTCCGGTATTTAAGCGGCGGGCATTCTTCTGCATACCTTAGTGTTTTGTGTATCCGCTGAACAACTGCAAAGGGTTACTTAGTGAAAAAAGACTCTTACGTTGCCATTTATCACCAGAACCTGAAATGGAAATGGGCATAGCAAAAAAGCCCACTGGGTACATCTGTTACGCCTGACTGACACGCACGTACATAGAGAGGCGTGAATACCCCTTCGTCTGCCTTGCTCTCCACCCGTTGCTGCTCTTGATCTGTGTTCTTTGCTGTGCTCAACAGATCAGCTTGGCCTTAATTTTGCTTCTTCTAGTTCTTGCCTGTGTATTGAGGACTACTGCAGTGGAGCTAGCAAGACACTTCACAGTAACTTCTAAATACATCCGGCAATACTCTTTTCCAACTTTGATGAGAGTCTCTTGAGTGCCTTCTCTGCCCATTATGCTATTTTTGATGCTATGGTTCGAGCTCAGGAAGACAGCCTGGTTTTGCTCTAGTCCTTGTATTTATGTTAGTGGACTTCCATTCTAATCAGCGGAGTTGCGAGAGCCAGGTTTTTGAAGGCATCAACCTTTTCCTCTGCTCAGCTCAATAAAGCTTAAGTTTCATTTTCTGAACATGGCTCAGGCATTTAAGAGGACTGCTCTGTCTCACGAGTTCTAGTGGATCTAACTACAGCGGTCTGCCCTGCTGCTCTGCCGAAGAGCAGGAACAGTGGGAGTACTGAACTGTACATGACAACAGCTGAGAAGCCACATATTTGTATATATTTGTTCCTCCTAGGTGGTAAACACAAGTGGCGGGGAGACAACACCTTAAACCACCAGAGCTGCAATGATGTGAGCTCATGAAAGTGAACCGTCTTAGATCTGAATTCAAGAAATGGATTTAAGTTAAGTAACATTGAACATCCCCGTGCCTAGTTTTTTAGCACCTAGCTTTGAGAAGGGAATTCCTTAATCTGAATTAGGTGCCTTATTTTCCCTGCAATGAATGGTGAAAGCCAGACCCATCAAATAATTCAAAGGTTCTAGAGAACGGGGGCTGAAGCCAGTATTTAGAAATGCAGAGAGGGATTTTTCTGTAATCCTTTCTTTTAGATTCAGAAGCCCAAGTCATTACTTCAGGTAATGGTGACTGGCTTGGTCTCTTCTTTTAAAATGTCACAGTAGAGCTGCTGCCTGCCTGAAACCTGTAGAGGACGGAGGCTGAGCCTGTCCTCAGCCTGGGGGGTCCCTAAACCTGCCTTTCTCTGTGGGCAAGCTTAGCTGAGTTGGTAGCAGCTGCACCTGCTACCTTCTACTTAAGGTTCTCCTGCTGTCTGTAAAAGTTCTTGCGTATGACTGTCTAGCCCAGAGACGAGAGAAACTTGTTTTTGTCCCTGTCGCGGTGATTGCTTCTGCTGCATACGTTAAAGCAAGAAGAGGGCATAGAAGGGTGGTCACAGGCAAGGCTGACGTGAGATACGCTAAGAGATGAAGAGTAGAAGCTTGAACTTGCTCAGGCTGAATTGTAGGATGAACCTGTATGTTCCAGTTGACGAGAACACAGCTAGCAGGCTGTCGCCTTCCTCTGCCGTTTCAAATGGCTGTGAGTGCTCTGGGCTGAACTCAGTGCTACTGTGTATTTGTGCCGAAGGGTAAGCAATTGTATCGCTGCTCCAACAACCCTGTTCTGCTTGACCAAGAGCACAGCACATCTAGGTATGTGTAGCAGCAGAATTCAGGCCCCCCAATAACTTCACTACTAGTTACTTGTATGTGAGGAAGAGAAACTACAGCTGTCAACAGGATCTTGGCTATGTCCATGGTTTATCAGATAACATCTAATTTGCTGGCCTAAACATAACCACCTAATTTAATTCTAAGTTGTATTTCAAATACCAGACTTCATCCACTCTGACCGTAGGCCTAAATTGCTTCTAAAAATCAGACTCGTGCCTTTCAATACCGAGGAGCAATACTGTCCTTAAAACTTCAACAGTCTCAGTTTCTGTGGTTCCAGACACAAAGGCAGCTGTTTTACTTTGCATGGCAGATTAAAGACTCAAGATAAATTTTTTCCTATGGTACACTTTTCAAGTAGATCAGTCTTTACACAAATATTTTAACCTGACAAGTTAGGATTTCTTTATTCCAGTAATGCGAGAATTTTTAGGAAGACAGTTCTACTGCTGCTTAGTTCACCTCTGGCACTGCTCTACCTAGGGCAAGAGGAAGCTAGGTAACATTCCATTCAGGTTTCAACAAGTGATAAAGCCAACTCCTCCTGCCTTTTAATTTTTACGCTCCACCACTGATTCACAGTGCTTCAGTTTCCACAGCAGTGCGAGAGCTCCCGTCTCTCCAAGCCTTCCTCTTCCTTTGAAAGTCCCAAGGATCTAAAACCCAGAAGACTGGATCAACCAGGATCAGGGATGATGCAGCAACTTGCCGCTCCCACTTTATTTTTCTGCATCACCTTGTTTAAGAAAACATTTAAAACACACTTAGCGCTGCTCTTTCCCCTGCTGCATTTCCTAAAGAGCTGATACCACGTCAAAGGAAAACTGCACCCACACCAATAAGCATCTTGCAGCTGTTCCACTCAAACCCAGCATGGTTAAATGAGACACCAGTTCCCCTGCAGGGCCATTCCAGGTTATTTCAAAACTGGCCTACTCCATTACAGAAAACAGTGGTACGATTTCTGTCCCTCTGCAGTAACCTGTTAATCTCACAGTCATCATTCCAGAAGCAGCGATTTCACCTGCAGTTTGAATGGGGATACTAATACCATTCTGGAAAGATCCATCATCTTGATTTTGGAAGGTCCCAAAGCGTTCTTTACCCTCAACCTAACATCCCGGCTTCCTTTTTCAGTTCCCTTCCCACCTCCCTTTACCATGCTGTTCTTGGCAAACAGTCAGATCGCACAGGGAGGAACCGTGGCTTTTTTCCCCTTCCTGTAAGTCTCATGACTATCCTCTATGGTTACATCTCGTCATACACACACTGCTTAGCCATTCATGTCTGAATGCCCTGCCCAACGAGGGATATGTATCTCTGATCTTCAGCAAGGCTCATCCTCCCACCTGTCACTTGTTTGGCAAGTGACCCCAAATTTCAGGGTTTAAAGCCTTGAAGTCATAGATCCACACCCAGCTGAAGAGCAGCAAAGCAAACCAGTCTGAGCAACAGGAAAAAGCTATATTCGGTGTGCACGCTGCCATGTGCACCACCCAGAGCTGTCATTTCAGGTCCTGCTTCCAGTAAGAATCCTGGCTGCCCACAAAAGAGAGTTAAGGGACTTTCCCTAGATCCGTGCAGAAGCTAACAGGAATTTTTAAACAACTATGCAGAAGAAAACATGTATTAATGTCTGCACCTGTAGATAAAAGTCTGTAATAAAAGTTTTCAGAGCACCGAGCCAGGAAATACCCTTAACAAGTTGTCAGCCTAGGCAAAAGGTGAGCCCTTACTGTCTTTGGTTTACAGATTTCAGCCAATGCTGTTGTGGCTGCGTACCTAGCAGTAGAAGTAAATGGTACCTACTACAATTGGTATTCAAATGTTATGCTGGCTTTTGGTAACTTTCAGAGCTGCCCTTATTAAAGACATTAATGGTACTTTCTACTATCACAAAGAGTTTTTATGGCACATACATACATACTAAGAGGAGGTAAACGTAACACAGTCTTGTGTCTCCTTCCCGAGAACTTCACATAGGCAGATCGTTAGGTGGGGGAGAGGGGAAGGAAAGGAAAAAGGCACATTTAGGACTTGCATGTGACAAATAACTTCTTCATATAGAGACATTTTAAGATATCTCAGGATTTCCCAGGCAAGTAATTAAGGGTGTGTACAGGCTTAAGAGATGATAAAGTGCAGCCAACACCTTGTGATCAGGTAACACACCCAGGAGCACAAACAAAAGCTTTGTAGATTACAGCATGGGGACTTACGGGGCAGACGGTTTGCTACTGAATATACAGCATTACAAAACTTTGATTTCCATCCTGGACATTCATCTTTAGTTGAAGATTAGTTAGAGTTGCTTCTTTTTTCAATCTAGAGTCACACATTCCGCCTTTATCTTTGCTAACGTTCCCTTTAAGTAACTTTTAGCCTATCTAATGGCAGGCAGATTTTAGGCACTGGAACCCATATAATGCTTTCTGACCCTTTCTTTCTCAAACGACTATGCTGACATTAAATAGGAGACAAATGGTGCCTTCAAGTTCTGTGATATTCTAGAGCAACAATTTTAAGCTAATCCTTATAGGTTTCCACTTCATCCACTTTTTTACAGTACAAACTGAAGGGTATCCTTATAAATTGTCAGAATAAATTCATCACTCACTTTTCTTACTACTTAAACACTTAAAGTGTTATTCCACAGGGGACTGAAGAATACAGTTCATTCACATGAAGCACTCCCTGTATCAAAGCTTTTTATCTACCCTAGGAGCAGCAGCAGCTAGTTGCAATGGAATGTAATGGTTTTTTTGGATCGAGACAACATTCTTCAAATGCTTGGTCCTAGAGCACCCTGTCTTCGCCCTCCCCTCCCACAAGGGGAACGTAAGTATCTGTTTCTTCCGTAAGTTAATAATGTGTCTTCAAGTAAGCTTTGCTTCACCAGTTCAAGCAATAGAAAATTAAACTTTTTGTAATTTTAGAAACTCTTATGCTTACCAGCATATTGTACCTACAAAGCTGCTGTGGTAACACTTGTGTTTTTATAGTCTCTTTGCCATCATCACACCAAGAAAGTAGCTCCTACACCATCCAGGCTGGAGTTTTAGAGGTACAGAAAATCCCACCCACTTATTTCATACACAAAAGTGAGGCTCATCTAGTGCTATTAACACATCATTAACACCCCTAGAATAATTTCAGTACTAGTTCATTCAACTGGCCCACAAGACTACTCACAGATATTTTAAAAACAAACCAAACAACTTCAGAAATGTTATGTCATTCCGTCATAGGTACCCTTAAGTATGTGACCGACTCTCAGAATGAAAGGGGACATCATATAACGGCTAAATGCTTTACAATTCACACATAAAAGCTTCTGTAAAAACTACGGCTACTCTAGAGCTAAAGTAGTTACTTAACTGGCTAGTAGCTAATCGGTGTTCATTTTTGCAGTATGCATGAGAGAACTTTGCAATTGTTCATGCATTGTTTAGCATCACACACACCTATGTATGTCATACATACATATAAATATTATGTATGAATCCTGTTGGGCAGGATTCAGACTGGACCCAGTCTCTGCCTTGTGCCCAAGGTGCTCTTCAGGCCACGATGCAAGATAGGATGCAGGTGCCCTGGGTGAATTCAGGTGTTTGGACCTAAATGGAAGCTGGAGTCCCACATTAGCAGGAGCTGCATTGCCAGGAATGCTAGGGTAATGCACCGCAGCTGGGGAAGCTTTAAGAATCAGTGCACATGCTGCAGGCTTAGCATGGACTCCAGGAACATTTCAACTGCGTGATGGCCTCAGCCTTTACATTTAACTGGGGTTTGCCCTGTGCATGGGTGAATAGCCTTCAATGATTATCATCTATTTTTCATGTTTTTTGATTTCATGTCATTTCCTACTATTTTTTGCATGTTAGTAAACACTACTTTCTATGTAGAATAGCCACTATCACTTTTGCAAAAAACTTCCTATGGATCTGTACACAAAAATAATAGCGCAGAGACAGGAAGTCGTCACAGTCTCCTGCCAGATGCTCCGTATACAAAGATTCTGTAAATACTACTTGGTGTTCGCAGTTACAGACCTTGAGCCAGTACTTCCTTCACCAGATATTTTGCACCCAAGATAACCGTACTGAATGTAAGAGTTAGCTTAAGACTATTTGGCAAAGGAAATGGTTTAATCCCAGGTGGGGATATTATCTTACACACTATGAAAGTATATTGATGGATTATTGCTTGCACTGCATTAACATCTGAGACACTTGTAGTCCAGATCTTATATTGTTCTTCTGGGCCTGCTATTCAAGCTGTTGTCAAAAATAAACACAATCCTGAACAGCCCACTTCTTCATCGTTACACCTCTGCTTTACATTTAATGTTGAGGGTATCTCACTTTATTTCAACTATTTTACGTATCCTCTCAACTTACGAGAAGCTCTTTTTCCTAAATGGGAGAATTATTTTGTACATCTATAGAAGTAAAATGTTTTATTTTAAAATTGTTCCTGAAATGTATAATGTATGAAAGTGCATTTCTGAATGGAAAAATTATGTACATCATGCATGTCATACATGTTGAGGAGAGACATATCAGACATGAGCTTTTCCAGTATTACTTCCAGTATTATCAAATAAGATAGTAACGTACACCCCTATTTTCCAAATATTTATATTCACACCCTCATGCAGACGAGACCCATGCAGAAGATGAATTTCTACAGGAGTCGTTCAGACACTGTATTGCACCCATTGCAAATGTTAGTGTGAGCGTATAATGCAACTTCTCTAAACAATGCAGACTAGCACTGTATGCAGAAGCCTTTCTCGGCTATTAAATGGGCTACTGGTGATAACTGTAAGTGTATAACTACAGGAAATTCCTCTCGGTATGAAAACAATGACCAGAGGCAGGCAGAATTCCGAATCATCAGTACTGCAAGCAATCTAAGATGAAAAGAATCAGCTAATTGCAGACTCAGAGTACACCATATGGAAACATATGGGCTATTTTTATGTATAATTACTGAATAGGTCAGGTTAGTCTCTAATTCAGCAAAGCTCATGCACAAGTACACACAGTTCTAATCCTTAACTATAATAACTGAATACAAAAAAAGTAGTTATACAATTGCTCAGAGATCTTCAGAGTCTCTTCATGCTGAAATTTCATTATTGCTCTTTTATAATATAAGTGAATTTAGGAGTGTTATATTAATACCACAGCATTTTGTGAATTTCAGGAAGGAAATACAGACAGTATATATACACATACATATATATTTAAGTTCAGTAAATGGACAGAGTTCCAGCCTGTAGCAAGCATTAAAATATTTACAAAAGTGAAATGAATTATTTCCTTTTGTTTTTTTTTCAGTAAAGAAGTGAGAACAATTACAAGAAAAATTACAGAATTTTTCTATGTTCTTCATATGTACTATTTCTTAAATGAGGTAAATAAACTAAATTACTTCAAAGTATTTGATTCCAGGATGGCAACTATATTTCAGGTGTATAATGGAAATTTGCTTTGTACCAGTAGATCTGCATTTAACCAACAACAAACATAGGCATAAGGATTGCTGGAGTGGAGCGAGCAGGCAGTGGGATTGGAAGAACTGAGGAGGAAGATGACTGTTTGTGCTACATTTTCCTGGTTTAATTTTCTTTGAATTCAGTATTGTATTTTATTTACTTGCTATTTGTGTTTAATTATTCAGGACTGTATTTTAGTATTTGTTGTATTTGGTTTTAGTTAATTTTTTAATTATATTTTAGTTAATACCCTGCAAATCATACACATGAAAATACAGCTGTGTAAGGGGGCGGGAGGGAAAAGAAACAGGTATTGTGGCAATGCCTGGTTTCCTAAATTTCCTCCTCCCAGGCCCTTCTCTCTTTCCATTGATATAGAAAGTAAAACTCACCTGGACTTTCATGAAGTAGGATCAAAGCGCAAACCTAATCTTACAATGATGCTACCGCTATTTGGCTCAAGACACAGCTGTAACATTCAGTGGTTATTACTGCAGTCATTTCAATATCTATTTCATTGTAAACTTAAAGAAAAAAGTAAAACCCTGAAGTAATAATTAGTTAAGCCTGAAAGTTCCCCCATGAATATAACCTTTCATGTCTAGGTGTTAACGGTACTTAGTTCTCTCTAAGCAAGCTCTCCCTGCCTTACTTTAAATGGTACCAGGCTTATCTTAATGACTGAGGATTTAAATAGGTGACCCTCATGAATATCAGCCGTGCTTTCAGAAAGGTGCCAAAATGGTGCTACTTACTGTAAGTGCAAAATTTGTGAAACCTCTGCATTGTCTCAACTGTTTGACAGTGTTATGAAGACAGTATGAACTGGAACGTACACCAAAAAGAGACAGACAAATGGATTTCTGATACTGAAAAGGATACATCTAATTCACTCTGCAAGGAAAAGAAATAGACAACCATTAGTTACAGTTTGATCTCTCATCTCATAGTCATTAAACATTACACATCCCTTTAGAGGATAAAGAAAGTCTTCAAATACAGATACAAAATTTTAGGGCGATTCAGATTTCTGTTCTGGACTGTACAATTACATGCTCTTTCCTGCAACACTGTTTTGCCTTTTATGTGTTACCTGCCTCTGTAACAAAAGCTAATGTCCTGAAATTTTTACTTAGAAAAACCCACTGAGGGTTACCCACAAGTAACAACTTGAATATACAGAGTGCCACCTGAATGAGTGGGTGGAAAACCAGCATCTCTGATCATGGCAACGCCAGCCCTATATTCTCTCTTCCTCCTTCTGCAAAAACAGGATGTTAATGCCAACTTTACAATTCATATAAAAACACAGTTAAAAATGTTGCTGCAGATCATTTCAACAAAACACAGTTAAAAGTGTTGCTGCAGATCATTTCAACAGCAAAATCTAGACATTGTACATACCCATGGCTGTGGCAGCCGTGGCTAGATATATTAGGAGAGGGAAGATAACTCCAAGCTTTGGACCCTTAGCACTTCTAACTATTGCTCCAGCCCCAGCAACACAATTCTTCACATAGTCATCATTTCCCTTCTAGTCTTGGCCTGGATTTACCCCAAGTAGTTTTATTCATTTAACCAAAATGCCTGAGATAGAAGCCCTTGTGGTCTCTCTGCAGTCAACAGAAGAGATGGGTATCTTCAACAGTTGACTCAGCACACTTGAGGCATGACTCACTTTCTCAAGATACTCATCGGTCTCCGCTGCCAGTAATGGGAGCTTAGGATGACCAAACTTCTAACTTAGGTGCCTCGGTTAAATGTCTAAATTTAGAAACAATTAATCACAGCCTCAGCAGTTAAGATCTTCCACAGTTAGGGTGGAGCTTCCCAGTCTCTGCTGAAAGAGGGAATCTTTATCTGCTACTGAGGGAATTTAGTTTGCTAACAAGGTTTCAATTCACTGTCTAATCCTGGAGTTTTAGGCAGAGTTGCCACTGGTAAAATTGCTACTGCTTCTATGGTCTAAAGATGCTCTAAACTGGACTAGTTCTAATCTACAGGCCTCCGCTGAGTGACCCTGCCATTCTTCAGCTAGAAATTTTTTACGCATCACAAAAATTGTATTTTAAGAGCCTGATCGGTTTGAGTTTCCTCAGCATTAAAAAGTATTTGAAAACAGTGGAGTATGTATTCCGAACAGCATGCAGGGTTTTCCCTGGGTAGCCATTATAAAAGTGAAGGGGACTCAGAATTACATCTCACAAGCAACTTCGAAAGCTTTCCCCCTAATTCTGTTAATGTTTGTTCCGATATTTGAATTCAAGCTCTGTAAACTCCATTAGATAAAAAAAGAGTATGTGAGAATGTTTAAAGCTCACAAGCCTAAAAATAATAAATGACAAAATGTCCTTCTAGAGCAGGACAGATGTTCTTTCCTTTCCCAGAGTTTTGTCTCCATTGTCATCATCATAATTTGGGATTCTGCTAAAATTCTGCAAATCCTTAACATTAATCCATAGTAATACAGACTTATACTTTCTTGCTCTGTGGTTTCTGCCAGAAACCCCAGCTAGAATTACAGCCCTCTTCTTCAGTGCTCTGCTGTTTATCGTTGTTATATGCTATTAAAAATAGAACCACAGAACGGCATGAGATTTCTTTAACCACCCCCCTTTTTGGTTCCCCTAGTTTCAAACCTTAAATGCTATGGAAAATACAAAAAACGCTGGTATGATGAATTCAGCAAATTTCTAACAACTATCAGTGGTTGGGTTATATGTGTGGTCAAGGAATTAGATAGACTACATTTATATGTATAAGAACTACATCTGGTTTTGCTCTGCCTCAAGTGAAGAAAAAAGTTGAGAAGTGGTTGGCAACTATTAGCTCAATTAGATAAATAACACGTGACAAAATTTTACTGTGCATTCCTGTGCTGCCGGGATCAAATTCCATTGCTTGTTATCACTCCTTAGGTTGGGACTGCAACCATAACAATTTTAAGAGACAAATTCTGAACTTAGTACAGTCAGAAAGGGATATACTTTGTACCAGCAGCTTCAACAGGCTGGTGTGACGTTAGTTGAGATAATAGCCTAAAACATTTGCCAGGCATCTGAATAGTGAAGGGTGCAGATGACCGTGTCAAGCATGTCCTTGAATTCACAGAGGGAGCTCTGCCATGTCTGCTGTGGTACTAATACTGGGAAAGCAGTTACAGACCCTGCATACTGATCTCTTGTATGTATAATTACCAAAGTAATACCCTCAAGTACACGGACGACGGAGGAAACTCTATCCAGTCTTCTTTTCTGAGAGGGATATTCAACGCATTTCAGCATAGACAAACTGAAATTGTGCCCAAGTATGATTTCAGGCGAATTTGTTTACAAGAAGATTATTACAAATCCTATACTAAACAGCACATGTTCTAACCAGGATTATAATGCTGCGTTTTCAAACTTCGTAAAAACAAACAAACAAACAAATCTCCCACCAAAAGGAATAGCGTCATTTCAACTGGAGCCATGTCTGATGTTGAATCCTCAACAAAATGACTATCTATGTAATAGCTGTTTTATCAGATATCCACTGTTGCATGACAACAATATGGGGAGTGCAAGTACAGACTGGTTTTTGAAGTTTCATTTGCTCCATCCCTCTGATCTTGTTCAGTGAGAGTGATATCAGCTCCCTGCTTAATGCTTACACCATCTTTATCGTGAATGAAGTGCATTTGGGGGATGTAATGCTAAGAACTGCAAAAAAGAACTGTAAAGAAAAACCTCTTCATTTCTTTAAAATGTGTAAAACACCAGTGGCTAATTTAAGAGTAGATGACCCAAAGAAACCCCCGAGTATAAGCATATAAAAACATGCTTTTCTAACAGAAATATTTCTGGTATTCCTTGTCTGATGATTTATAACCCACATATACATTTACTTCTCTGAAAAATCAACTAACACTGTTTTTTTTTCTTTCTTTTTTTTTCTTTTTTTTTACAGTGGTAATATTCATGCTAAAGTATTCAAAATTCTAAATGAATATTAAAAAAAATATTTTCTCCTTTGATTTATTCCCCAAAATGCCATATTCACTAAAGCTTTGAAAGACAAGAAATACTTCATAATAGATTCAATGTCTCACTCACCACTCTGCTGAAGTATTTGTCCAAAACTTCCACAAAATTATGAATTAGTTCATATACTGCCATCTCATTCTGAAATTAAATTAAAACCAAATGAATATTAAATCAGTAGCTAGAAAATGTAATAGTATTCTTTGTGCTATTTCCATTTGCAGTGTATGAAAAGCAACTAGAAAATATAATAAAACCTACAATAAAGCGCACAAGCTCAGGCCACCATAGCGAGAGGAGGGGTGGTTACCCAGCGGAGGTACCGAGAGCAGGGGAGTGCTCAGGGGCAGGACCCAATGGATTTGTCTCGCCTGGGCTGCTGCCATCCGATTGCATCCTTTGTTCCACCATCACCCAGGTTAGCTAGACAGGTACAGCTAACTCGGCTATGCCTACCCATGCTGAAGTCACACCGGCCAGCTGCAGCACAGAGCCCGGCTATGCTGCAGTACTATAGACGGGCGATATTTGTGTGGTGTAGCAAAGCCAAAAGGATTTGCCCAAAACTGCATGCCATTATAACCCTGACTTGAAGACACTGTGGTAGTCAGTAGCTACCTTCCACACCACCGAATTAAAGTCTCCAATACTAAGCATTGAATTAATTTCTGAGAACTGGGAATCAATGTAAACACTAAAGCCTTGCAGGCTCTGCCTGAACAGATGAAATAACAGTACTTGACAATTTTCAGTCAGGTACCTTTTTTTTAAAATACAATAAATTGGCATCTTTGTAGCTGACAGCATGGGAATTTTTTCTTTGGCCGAGGAGGTTAAAAACAGTGAGCCGTTGGGAAGTCAATGCAGATGAGACAGCTGATCTGGCTGCAATGCTAACATTTGTTGAGAAACCCCACCCTACATAAATTTGTTTAATCAAACATAAATTTAGAAAGCAGAATCAGTATAAGGCTCATGAAGACTGCCTCATGATAAAGAGTTCAGTCTACTGCTAGAGAATGAAGTCAAACATACATTTTCTTTTATACCTCTTTTTATTTCACAGAAATAAAAACGTCTTTTTGCAATGACTCCTTGAAATTCTGTAATTGCTATTGCAAAATTCCATGCTGGAAAAAGACTTGAGCTCTTGCCCGTGACTACTACAAGCTCTCATGTCAAGAGTGTATATAATTCCTTACCTCTGTCTCGTTGATTCCAACGACTACAAAAAGGGCTGCATACTGTCGGTATACCAGCTTAAAGTCCTTATACTCAATGAAAGAGCACTAAGCAGAAGAAAAAAAGAGTCAAACGTAGTAGCTGCCATTTAAGCATACAACAGTATTAAGCGCAGAGTGCTCAAAGAGCCTAGGCTTTCACGTTCGTAAGGCCCACAAAGAACAATGGATTTCCCAAGATCCACCAAACAGTTTTGACTTGAAAGGAATTTAGTAGGATAACTATTCCACAAAACTTTTCATCTACTGGCAGAAAACACGCTACCACTTTTTAAATGGAAAAACTGGAACATACAGAAATGACTTGTTTGGGGTTTTAAAGCAGTCAATACTTCCCCTAAATTTTCATTTGGAAGCACTGCCAAAAGAGACAACCTCAAGGTAATTGTCATATTTAAAAAATGATCGATATTTTTATAAAAAAATTAAGAGTATTGGATTTCCAGACCCAGAGGGAAATTCCCATGTCTTTCACAATAAGACAGAAGCCAGCAGATGGTGCTGTTATACACTGCTTTACAAGCCGCCTCCTTTTTCTTAAGTATCATTTTGCTCAGTCCTTGAAATGGCAGCATACCGTTAGCTCTTTTGGTGAAGTTTCTGTTTGGAGACGCTCTTGCAAGCAGTGTGGAGGAGGTTAATTTCTCTAGTCACTGTCAATTCTGTGAACTAAGGTACTTTAGGTTTCCTAGAATGAAATATGAGGACCACTGTTCAAGGACACAATTAATGAAAAAGAAAGCAGCTGACTTCAGAACAGAAACCAAAAAACTCTACTCAGTCCAAGTCACAGATTTCTCCTCAATGCAAGTCGATGTGCTCAAAAGTTTTGCTGAGTTTGGTACTTTTCTTAAAGAATCAATGGCTCAATTAAGTGAGCCATGAAAATCTCAACTTTCATCTAAGAAATTTTCCAACTTCCGAGTTTTCTGACTTTCTTGCAGAAAGTGTGAATACTTTTTTTGAATAAAAATGCCTAATACAGAAGCCTAAAAATTTGTGTTTCCAAAATCCCCTGTTTTAGATAGTATTTTCATTATTTGGAATCCTCTCTCCTAAGTTTTTTATTTAAACTTGGAGCTGTCAGTACTATCCCTACTACCTTCTGGCAAAGCAGCAGTAATATCTCTCTATCAATCTCTACCAGACAAGCAATAACAGGATAAAATAAATTCTTCCTGTACTTCTGAGCTTCTTCAAACAAACAGGAGGAATCTTCACGACAGTGATACACAAAACTCCAAAATCACTGTAAGCCTCAGAAAAATGTATTTATTCAATGCAGAACAACAGTTCAACCCATCATCTAGAAACACAATCTTTTTCTTCGTGGGTACAAATGAAGTAATGACCTGCAATGGAAACTGATGCGTTTTCAGAATTATCAACATGAAAGATATAAGTTGTTGATAAAATAAAATGGCTAGGGAAAAAACTACAAAACTTACCTGATCCTTTGAACGGGAGAGACAGTTTTTGATTACTTCAGCTTCCAGCATTGTCCGTTTATTAATTTCTACATGCTCGTAATACCTAGAGAGCCTTGTTTGACCTTGTTTGTTTACCATAAGAAAAAATTTTATCATTTCTTTTTTGTTGATCTCAGCAGTAGATTTGAATATGGGGTGCAGGAATCAAGAAGAGAATTTCTGTGAGGAAAAAAACAACACAATAGTATACGTAGGAGTTATAAAAGACTTCCTAAAAGCTAGCTAGCCCAGATCCGCATATATTTAAGACTGAGTTTATTGTCAAAACATAGAATATAGGAAAAAAAAAATCTCTAGTCTTTTGCATGCATTCCATGAGTAAAACTCCATTTTTTTCTCACACAAATAATCACAAACTATCTAATAAATGTTAGCTTTCACATTATCAGGCAATTTAATTTTTTTGTAGGATTTGGGGAATTGGAGGAGTAAACAATTACTTCTTCAAAACCATAAATCTACTCACCATTTTCTTCCCGCATGCTAACTGATTTGAGAACATTATCAGAAATTTGCCCAATAGCAAAACATAAGATTAACACAGCTCATAAGAGCAAAATTGGCCCATGAGAGCTTCCCCCCCACCCCGACTTGTACTTAACAATTTCATTCATACTATCCTGACATCAGATTGAAGGGAGGAAGGGAAATGCATGGGCCACAACACATGACTATTTCTTTAATGCAGAATGAGAGCCTCCTAAATATTTGGGTATCAGCAGTATCAGCACACATCTTGAGCTGGATGAGGAGCTGCTGAAATCTGTTTTCTCCCATCTAGTTTCCCACACTGACACGAAAGGTAGATTCTGCACTTAATGAAAACTAAGTGTGGGTCTTTGATAGCTAAGGAGAAACCTGTTCATGTTAATTACTCAAAACAGCTTAATCTCAATCTAAATAAATATTAATCCACACAATGCCACTGAAAGAGAGTTATAGAATATAAATACGCCACATACAATGTACAATGAAAAAGGCTATTAAAAAGAGCACAGCATATATCAGAATCTGCTTGCTAAACAACTGAAATCTTTCATGTTTTGAAAAGCATGCAAAAAAGGTATACTGCAGATGTAATCTTTCAAAATAGTTGTTCTGGGTTATTTTCTTTAATGCCATAAAACAGCTACTGTCATGTTTTCCATCTGAGACTCTATTTGGATCACAGATTTATTGGTCCAAATGCTCTTGAGGTTTATGCACTGGAAATACAGCAACTACCACAAAAGCTATTTATTTATTCCAGTTCTGAAGAGTTGCTCCTTGCCTGGTGCAAATATTCTTTCCTAAGGTCTCACAGCTCCTGTGAGAAAGTCCAAGCTGGAAAAAAAAACGTATCAGGAATCCACAGAACAATACAGTATAGCTCTTTGTGTAAAAACAGTGTATCAATGCAGAAAAGCAAAAGGGGAAAAAATACAAAACCCAAAATAGGTCTCTGAAGCAGCAACCTCACAGACATTTAAACATAGGCTGATTTTTTATAACAAGGGAAGCTGCATAGGTGCTGCCTCATATTATTAGCAACTTGAATAAACTGGCTATATACCATTCATGGATGATAACATCTAAATCTTTCATGACAGTGATACAAAAAATCCCAATATATTGTGCTAACATTAGTTATTGCTTACTTCTGATTCATATTGGTCACCTCATTATTTTCTGAAAGAAAAGCCACCTCTATTATCATCACTCGGATCTCAAGAAAGCGATCCTGTTTTCCTCAGTGTGCTGTGGTTTACTCCATATACAAAGAAGTTTAGATTTCTATACTAAATGTATCCTCACTGATTAGACCTGATACTGAGGATTCATTTCTTAACTGAGTGACACCTCCAGGGAATAGCAGTCCAGGATGAATCCTCAGGACAAGACAGTCCGTTTGGAATTGTGGCAGTCTCAGAGCTTTCTCACCTCCACCAGGCACGGTGAAGTCTCTCCACGTCCAGAACAGGAGCGCACTTTTATTGATCCTCTCCACCAGAAGAGTCATGGACACTGGGCAGTGCTGCTGCGGTGGTGCACGTAGCTTGTCCGCTGCGCCCCGTGCTTCTGAACTAGCACAAGTGGGTCTCTGAGAAAGAATGAACCAGGTAATTAAAACAAAAAAGGGCCCAGATAGAGATGTACGACGGGATCTTCAATGTCAGATGGCAGCTTAGGCTGACATTTACAACTAAATGGGAGAATACCATCTATACAAGCTTTTTTGCATTTAATATGTGGCTCTTTTTTTTCCCCATTCTAATTTGTATTGCTGCTTGAAGTTAGAGTTGCAATAAGAAGAGATGTCTTAATATTTTGAGGTATAAAGAAAGGTAAAACAGTGAGAAGACTTAGTCATTTTTTGATACAAACCTTCCATGAAGTAAGGATAAGAATGAACGACTCCTTCCAGCTCAGAATGAGGCACTCTGGCAAGGGCCAACCTCACAAGTAAAAGAAACCTGAAGCTTTAAAGCTACTTAAAAAGGGTTGTGGTCTGAAAGAGGAACAACCTAAGAAATGCTGCCCATTGTTTTAATGAAAAAAATAGCAAGCTCAGACACAGGAGACCAAAAGCTATGCACATTGTTCCTACTAACTGCAAAACATGTCTGTCCACGCTAAACAGATAATGACAGCGGCATAGACAGCTTTTCTTTTTTCTTCTTAGTTTTATGCTTCATCTTTATGTTTGGTACTGCTGAAGCATGAATTAATAGTCTTCTGTTTTGAACAAGTTGTTTCCAAGCTATTTTAATAATTTAGTCACAAATGGTACTGAGGAGCGTAAGTCCTGTTCTCAGAAATCAGCAAGTTGCACAAATCCATCCTAGAAGAGTAAAAACCTGAGGCTTAACATGTCTGCAGATATTCAAGTGGGACCTGAGGAAGGGAGGACAGTAAAACTACCCCAGGAGCACCGACAGAGCTGTTGTACTCTGAGTTACTGTTAAGCAATATATAACAGAAAAAAATATATGAAGAATTGATATGTATGGATCCTATTGCAGGATTGGTCCCTAATCCTAATTATTCCTTTATTAACCTAGTCTTTCTACATGGTTAATCCCTTTCTGATGTTATGACTATTGTATCTGCGGGTAGTCTTATGAATGGCCTGGACTGTTTTACATGTGAAAATACTTTAGAGCAGATTTTTTTTTTTTAATCCTCACAAATACTCTTATCCAGAATAGATATTAAAAAAATGAATCATGTTGTAACGGAGGTAGAACCATAGTAGTAAAGTGTGTTATCTGTAATTTATGAGACAATCATTATTCACAGTATTAGAAGAGGTGATCAACATCTGTAGGAAAGAGGTCCACTAGTATCACTAGTCATTTCTGTATTCTCCCACCAGCCCCAAAGACAGCTTCCAAAATTTTAGCCAGAAATTTTGCTCATATAAATGGCAGCACAAGCACACAATTTTGTGCAGAAACACTAGAATAAATTTACATGTACAAATAATACTTTTTTAAAAATTTACAAAAAGCATGCAAACATAGCTGTGGAATCTGATTTTGAGAATAACACCAGTGTTAAAAATATCTTAAGGGTTTTTTAATTTCCTTTAAAAATAATTCTGAAAAAAAAAAAAGTCACTTGTAGAAATAAAAACATTTGCTTGCACAATTTAGGCAAAAGAAGGAAATTACCGAGTTTTGTTTCTAACAAAATTTGTTTCTTCTCCTTTCATCTTGGCTTTCCGATACAGACAACGTGTTAAAATTAGTTTTGCGTATATAAGATGTAAAGAAACCTGTGAAGTATAACAAACAAACAAAAAGCGTATCTGTGCATGTTGATGGGTGGCGAAACTCCCATTCCTTCATCAAGTTCTACGTATTTGAGAAGCCACCTTTTATGATCAATAATCGGTATTCTACTTAGGAAGATAGCTCCACTTCTGATACAACTCTTACGTGCTTTTCTGTGCATTCTCACACACGTGCCTGCATGTATCCATGCACATACACACAAATCACGATGCTTTTATGCATACAGAATCAAATGATTCAAGTGAATTAGTGACGAGATACAAGCCTTTCATATCTCTGCCATGATTTTGCTCATTTTAGTAATGAAAAGACATTACTATCTGAAGGCTATTTGTCAGAAATGAATAGGCTGTCTCATTCCAGGCCACTGGACAACTATCTGCATCACAAATGTGCTTAAGAACAGAAGACTGGAAGGGACTACCCAGATCCTGATGGACTGTCAAGTCCAGCTCTCCCCATCACAGTCAACCATGCATTAGAAATTTTGTCCAGAATAGCCTACAGCATATGCTTTGTGCACACGTAATCTACAAAACACCTACAAAACTCTATGACAGAATGAAGGCTCCCTAGAAACAGAAACCTCAGAAGGTATCACTTGGGGAAGATGTAAAAAGCCTTGAAATTGCAAACTTTCCTTCAAAAGAAATTACCTTCCAGAGTGACTGAGTAGCACTCTCCTTTATGTCCTTTACAAAATATTTCTTCTGTAAGGATAATTTGGCATGCACACAAACGACATACAGTTTAACTACTGTGATTTAAATACGCGTTGGTACACTGTGTTAGATCTCAGTCTCATTAAAGTATCTGTCGCAGATAAGCATCTATGAGAGAAAACTGGTCTCATGATTGGCTTGTGTGACTCACACTGGTAGATTGATAGAGAATGTCGTCGTTGATGACCTAACGATGGCTTTAACTCCTTTTAAACCAGCACATATGCAGAAGACTAAGGACCCGGGCTCGTGAAGAGACATGCTTCTGTATTTTACTCCCTCCAGGCAGGCTCATCCCCCCTGCCTCTACAGGTAACTCCAGCCTTGTATTTCAAGACAAACTGAAACCTGCCTGAAACCTGAAAAATGCTGAAACAGAAACCACGACGGTTCAGGAACTGCTTCCAGGACATGTCAGCTCTGTAGGCTGCATAACCACATGAGACACCTCAAAGTAAGTTGTCCCTGTTTGTGAGTCACACCCCTAAATGCTGTCTTTTCAGATACTGATTGAGACCTCTTAGAGAGGCAAAGCCTGCAATACCTGTTCTGTGGATAAAAAGGTCTTAATTCTCCAGCATGGCCAACCCAGCTGATTCTACATGCAGTAATATAAAACGTATTTTAAACATAATTTTAATTACTTCTCCAGCAGATACAAGCACTCGACATATTAATTTATCAAAGATTTCACCAATATTTATACATACTCTGACACATAAATTACAAAAAAATAAACACAACCTGAGTTTGAGACTTCTTGCAGTACAGTTATCATTCAAATTAGATTTGTGTCTCTCAAGCTAAAGCCACTCTAGTCAATGTCCACAGATTTAGAAGCATTTTAGTTACTGTGCTATATGAAAGTCCTGCAACATTCTAGGGCTCTCGGCTAAAATGTAAGTAAGAGATCAAATCTAGCAAACAAGAAATGCATGACTACATTTTTACAGATCTGCTTCACCAAGAACTAAAAATAATTGTTAGATAGAACTATAAGCAAGTAATTTACTGCGCTGTCCAACTCTAAACAAGTTGGTTTTCCAGATGCAGAGGTCTAATTGCACTTTATATGTGTACTAAATGTAGAACAAAATGGGTTAAACTGGAATTAAAGCATTAATGAAAAGAAAAAAGTTACTAAATGGTAGAGGCACAAACAGGTGACAGCATGGGACGAAATATTTTTGAGATATATATTAGGCTATTAGGCTTCCCGTCTATGAATTTATTGTACAAAAGTATGTGGCAAATGAAGACCGCTGACGTTATCGATAGCCTTGCTCTTCCTATTCTTGTTCGGACCATGGACAAGGCTTTAATAAATATCACATGCAGTGTTATTAATATTTATCCATAATAGTAATTACTTTTGTTTTCTAGATCTTATTACTGTACACATTATAATTCATCCAAAGATGAACCAACTATGTCTATGTGGCTTTAAAATAAAATACTGTGTTCAACTTCAGGATCAGGGGTTTTAAAAAAGCAACCTTATTAATCTAGGGAAGTCAGGGAGGAAGGAAAGAGTAAAAAAGTTTTCCTTTGCTGTTGAGTTGTCAAAATGCTGTCTCAATATAGTAACGGAATTAAATCGCAGTAACTCCCATATACTCAGGAATGAGGAATGTGCCGTAAGGTTGGAGCTAAACAAAAGGCTAAACTGGTTATGAGGTAAGTCTTAATTTTTAGTAATGATCTGATACTGTCAGTAGACAATGAAAGAAATCAGCTGAGGTGGAAAGCAGTTGGATTTAGATTGGCTAATCTGTATGGAATCAGGAAGACTGTAGGATGAAATTTTAGCAGGAAATGATTTAACGGGGAAGGAAGGAAGGACTAGATAAACCAACTGAAATATCAATGCACACCTGAGGAGAGATTAGTAGAGAAAGGAAACACCAGTACTGAAACAAGTGGTATTTATTTTTTCAGTAATTAACAGAATTCCAGCTCTGTCAAGAATGAGCCCTGTTTAGGAAACTCCATTTTCTTACTGAATGAGTACAGTATGTAAATATTTTGAAGAGAGGCAAAACCAAACTCCTACCTTACTTACAATGGGCGAACTACAGATCATTTCAAATAGGATGTGATGATAATTTGCAAATATTGCATTTCAGAGCAATATTTTGCAACTGAGGTAATTTCACCATATCCAAACTGCAGCATCAAACATGGCATTGCTCTCACAGATAAAGTTGAGCCAGACAAAATAAACCAGGAACTTCTCGCAAAACCTTCCTCACATGGAAGAGACTTTTGAATAGCAAACATCGTGCACCTTCCCTTCTCAAGGAGGGAATACAGTACACACATCCCTTACCATTGAGGTACCATGAAGATGACCATTCATTTAAAAAAAGATTAGCCAACTTCCAGAGCCATACCATAAATTTAAGAAATCTATTCTAAAATCACCTCCATGCGGGGCAAATTCAGCGCACCATTAAACCGCTCTGAGTTTGAGAGACTTAAGCGTTTATAACCCCCGATTTGCTGTTTGCACAGCAGGAAGCAGACCCAGGCCCGGCCCGGCCGCATTCCCGCGGACTCTTCCGAGGGCGTTTG